ATCTGGTGGGCACAATCTAATCTGCTTCCACTGAATATAAGGCAGGCAGAAAAATGTGAAAAAGAGACAGGTCTAGCCTTTCAGCATACATCTTTCTTCCATGCTGGATGCTTCCTGCCCTTGAACACTGGACTCCAAGTTCTTCAGTTTTGGGACTCAGACTGGCTCTCCTTGCTCCTCAGCTTGCAGACAGCCTATTGTGGGACCTTGTAACTGTGTACATTAATACTTAATAAATTCCCAGCTGGGTGCGGCAGCTCGTGCCGGTAATCCCAGCACTTTGGGAGGCCGAGGTGGGCGGATCATGAGGTCAGGAGACTGAGACCATCCTGGCCAACATGGTGAAACCCAGTCTCTACTAAAAATACAAAAATTAGACGGGCATGGTGGCGTGCACCTGTAGTCCTAGCTACTCAGGAGGCTGAGGAAGGAGAATCGCTTGAACCCAGGAGGCGGAGGCTGCAGTGAGCCGAGATTGTGCCATTGCACTCCAGCTTGGGTGACAGAGCAAGCCTCTGTCCAAAAAATAAACTCCCGTATATATACAGATAGAAATATATAGATAGAGTTATATACATATATACACTCACCTGTCTCAAGGCCAACACTTGAGCTTCTGCCTGAGCCCACTCACCACTTTAGGCATCAGCCAATTCATGTGTCCCTACACACAGGTCTCTTGACACAAAGGATGAGATCTCACCTCTGTCATTTTCACCCAGAAAAGTTGTTGAGTAAAGACTCATGGGGTCACAATAGCAGGAGGGTGGATTCTCACCATTTCTCAAGCCCAGAAGCCCATCTTCTAAAAGGGAGGCTACTCAGGGTCCTCTAGGGAGGGTGAGGGATGGAATTTCATTCAAATCATGCCACTTACCTGGAGAGGTGTCTTAGACTCTGTGAGCCTGAGCTTAGTCATCTGTGAAATGGGACTGACGATACCATCCTTACAGAGTGTCTGAAGGGTAAACGAGGAAACCTCTTGAGAGAATATGGCATTGAGTGGGACTTAAATGGCCTTTAAATGGGACACAGCACTAGGCAATGGCTGTGCCTCAGTGCTAAGGCAAGCATTATGAAAAATCATTTCTCATTGCTCCCCCTTTATGAGAACACAGACATCTAGTTGAAGAAAGCAAATGTCCCTGTGATATGCCTTGCGTTCAAAGTTTTGTAGACAGCAGTCTCTCTACTTCATGGGTGTTATCAGAACCTCATAAGAGCTGTTCAACGTCATGCTTCTGAGCCAATCCAAATTTAGTTTCCTAAACTGGGAAGACAGGCATGTCTTTGAACTTACCTGTTCAGCTCAGAGACATCACCAGGGATGTAAGGTTTTGTATCTGCCCAGTGGTTGCTCCTGGACTTCTTGGTATGTTAATATATTTATTGGAATATTCTAGACCTGTCCCAAAATCACCAATGCTGGGGTTTTCAGATCGTGCATTAAGTAGCTACATCACATCAGAATTTCAGCCATCTGCTGCCTCCCTGAGGGATAAAAATCCAAGAGTTACTAGCATTTCTTCACACAAAATGTCTATTCTTTCATTAGGTAATAACTATGTATGTATTGAACTCAAAATCCATTCTATTCCTTTGGAGGTGCCTTATGAGCTCTAATGTGATATAAAAGCATAAGGGAAATAAATATGTGGGCAATTTCAAGGGTTAATTCTGAAATAACTTTTTTCACATTAACTTTTAACTTGGTCAAGTTCAAGAAGTTGAAGATTTAAAAAAAAAATCCCTCCTTGGACCCCCCTCATCACCCATTCAGCTACAGGCTACAGATCTCCCTGTCTCTGTCTCTCCCTCCCCTTTCCTTCTTCTCCTCTATATTTGAAGTACCAAAAAGAGTTTTCTACATCCTCTGTTAACATTTTTCACTTCCCACTCATCATCCCATTGCCCTATGGCTTCTGTCTCTGGATTGCAATGAACCTTCTTTCCAAAGTCACAATCCACTCATTTCTTACTAGGTCCAGGTTTCATAAAAATATATTAACATAGTGAATATTATTTTTAATGAGCTCCTAAAGTACACATGCTTGCAGATTGCTTCTTTCACCTACCAACAGAGGTTTCACATTTTCCCAGGCTCTAGAGCATGATGTACTGGACATAACTCCAACTTGTCCCACTCCTTAACTGTTCAGTCTTAGGCAAAGTCCTTATTCTCTCTATCCCTCAGTTTTCCATCTGTAAAATGTAATTTTGCAAGAGTATTTAACTCATAAGTGTGTTCTGGGCACTGAATTATCCAGTACATTAAAAGCATATAGTCATGAAAAACATTAAGATATTGGCCAATGTTTATTCATAATTAATGATTATGAATAACCAGAGAGACAGAGAGACAACACGCAAGTGCTTAGTAATAATTCTAGAAGGAAGAACAGAATTAGAAAAGCAACATTTGATAACTCTCATAGTTGTAAGTGATTCAGGTAAAAATAATAAATTCAGTTTATACCACCAAATCTCACAGTGGTCACTGAGTTATCATGGTAACCATGCTTGTCCAAAAAAGCTGGGAAAAAACCGAATAAGCACCCTGATTGTATTTCTAATATACGCTTACAACTAAATAGGACTCATATGATGGACGGTAATTAACCTCAACTATCCCTTACAATAAACATTGCTGGCAGCTTCAATGATATATACATTCATAATACATACATACCCACATACATACATGCTTGATCTCTCTCACCATCCCAGATCCCAGGAATCCATTGATGTAGATTTACTGAGTGGGCGGGTGGACAGGTAAAAAAATTAAAACCTGGCCAGGCGTGGTGACTTACGCCTGTAATCTCAACATTTTGGGAGGCTGAGGTGGGAGGGTCACTTGAGTCCAGGAGTTTGACATTAGCCTGGGAAACATGAGACTCTGTCTCTACAAAAAAAAAAATAAATAAATAAAATAAAGAAATAAATAATAAGTTAGTCAGGTGTGGTGGTATGCACCTGGAGTTCCAGCTTCTTAGGAGTATTGCTTGAACTTGGGAGGTCAAGGCTGCCATGAGCACACCACTTTATTTAAGCCTGGGCAAGAAAGCAAGATGATGTCAAAAAAAACAAAAACCAAAAACCAAATAAACAAAAAAATCCCTGCAAACCTTGCATTTCAACAGATTTATTTTTAGCACACATATAAAGTTGAAAGCTACTGAACTATGCTCTTTTAATCATTAATTTTTCTGGGGATGACCCCTGTACAGTATCTCTGAGACATCTTTCATCTTTTGAGACATCTTTCTCAAAAAGTACATGGAAAAATATACTTTTTCCATCAGAAAATAGCTTGTGCTTTCAACCAAAAAAAATTCAGCTATTATTAATTATTTGGCTGCTGAGAAAATATAATAGTTCAGAGAAAATATAATAATTAGGCATTGTATTTAAAAATAATGCCATTTACAGTAGCTTCAAATAGTATGAAATATTTATAGATAATCTATCCACAATTGTACAACACCTGTACACTGAACACTACAAAACACTGCTGAGAGAATTAAAGGAGACTTAAAGAAATGGAAGACATTCTGTGTTCATGGATCAGAAGGCTTAGTATTGTTAAGATATCAATTCTCCCGGATCTGATCTATACATTTAATATAAATTCAATAAAACTTTTACCAAACTTTTAAAAAGGAAACTGACAGGCTGATTCTAACATTCACGTGAAAGTTTAATAGATCTAGCTGATAGAAACAACTTTGAAAAAAAGATCAAAGTTAGAGAACAAACACTACCTAACTTCAAGACTCTTTACAAATCTACAGTAATCAAGACAGTGTGCTGTTGGCATCAAGGTAGAAAAACAGATCAAAGAGACAGAATAAGGAATCCAAAACAGACCAAACCTACATAGATAATTGTTTTTCGACAAAGATGCAAAGGCAATTCAGTGGAGAAAACATAGTATTTTTCAACAAATTCTGCTGGGAGAAGTGGTTACCTATATTCACAAATACAAACAGTGATCCAAATATAATAATATATACAAAAGTCAACTCAAAGTGGATCATATATATGTATATATACACACACACACACATATACATATATACATATGTGTATGCATACACATATATGAGTATATATGTGTATATATGTATGTATATACATAGGTATATATACACATAAATACACACACACATATGTATACATATATGTGTGTACATATGTATATGTATGTGTGTGTATATATACACATATCTATATTTGTGTATATACACACGCACATATACATATGTATGTATATATGTGTGTGTGTATATATATATATATATATATATACACACATGTGTGTGTGTGTGTGTGTATGTATATATAACTTAAAACTGTAAGACTTCTACCAGAAACACAGGAGAAAATTCTTGTGACTTTGGGCTAGGTAAAGACTTCATTAGTGAGACAAAACTACAATCTGTGGGTGAAGAAATCAATAAATTAGACTTCCTGAAAGTTAAAAACTTTGCTCTTCCAAAGACACTGTTGACAAGCCCTTGTCTGGGAGAAAACGGAAATTATTTATCTGGCAAAGGACTTATATCCAGAATACAGAAAATCTCACAAAACTCCTTAAGAAAAAACAGACACTCCAATAAATAAATGGACAGAAGAATTGAAAAGACACTCCACTACAGAAAATATACAGATGCCAAATAAGCACATGAAAAGATACTCAACATCATTAATAATTAGGGAAAGAAAATGAAAAGTACAATGAGATACTATTACATTCCAAAAGAATGATCAAAATTTAAAAGACTGACCATACCAATCACTGGTAATTTTCTGGAAGCCAAAACCCTCATATACTGCTGGTTGGAATGAAAAATGGTACAACCACTTTGAAAACAGTTTGGCTGTTTGGCTATTTCTTACAATGTTAATCTTACCTCTACCACATGATCCAGGCACTGAACTCCTAAGTATTGGCCCTTGAAAGATAACACATATTTTCCCAAAAAGACTTCTCCACAAATGTTCATAGCAGCTTTATTTACAAGAGCCTCAAATTAAAAACCAAAATGTCCATAGACAAATGGATGGATAATGAAATGTTTGCTATAGTTGTATACTGGAATAGTATTTAGCAAACAAAAAGAACGAACTATATCAATAGATAAATGCAATAAAGTAGATAAATATAAAAATAAGTAGAGTGAATGAAAAAAGCCAGGTGTTGATTTAAAAAAAAAAGAAGCCACTTCTATGATTCTATTGAAATATATTTCTGGACATGTAAAGTAATATATTGTGACAGACATGCTGTGTTTACCTGGGGCCAAGGCAGTGGGAAAGGTAGGTAGGCCAGGTACTACAGAACTGAAATTGCAATGTCCTGGGAAATAATAATGATATTTAGAAAAATCTAGTTATCTTAGAGGACATAGCTGGATATCATTATAACAGGGCAAACTACATTGCAAGTATTAATTTGGAAAATGCCAATTTCTTGTACCTCACATTTTAATATTTTTAGGTAGCACTTAATTAATTTCTGGCTTCGTAGAAAATTTAATTATAGACTAGACAAAAAATATGGAAACCATGGAAGAATGCATACTATAATCACAAATTGCTAGGAAGATCTTCTAACCTTCTAACTGTATAGTTCAGCACCCATCTGAGAAATACATGGGCATCACTGATAAGTATTCATAAAGGCAGAAAATATATGTAAATTTGTTGCAAAGACATGTTAAACATCAAGTTCCTTCCTCAAGTGAACAACAATTCATTGCTTTATGATAAAAGTAAGGCATCTCTTAGATGGGAATCAAGATTACTACAAAGAGTAGTTTCTCATCTTCTGGATAATATTGTGAACCTCACAGGAGCTATTCCACAATGTGCTTTTGTTCAGATCTATGAACTCATTAGAATCAGGCATCATATCTCACCAGCAAGGGAAGTGCCAGGGGTCTCTTGAGGACTGCTCCCCTTCAAATCTGGAGAAGCTTCAGCACCCATCATGTCCCAGATCCTCACAACTAACCTCCTTCAGACATTTAATATAAGTTCAGTCACATGCATGAAAAGTTGCACAGGGAGAAAGAGAATCCAGCCATTATTGTACATTGTTGGGTAACTCTGTGCCTGGTACCATACTAGGCACTGAGTTAGTGACCAATGACACTGATAAAATTGGGTAGTGATCATATCCAGAAGGTACAATGGGTTTCTCACCAGGGCCTTTTTCTTCCTTCCTTATCTGCCCGCTAAAAACAAATCTGAAAAGGAAGAAAAAGAGGCCTGAATTTACATACATATTCCTGATTCCACAATAACCACAGGGCTATGGTCTTGTACCTCTTTATCACCGTAAGTTCCCAGAATTCTATGAGTGAGCATAATTATCCCCATTATACAGAATGAGATGCCAAGCTCAGTTTTTGCCTGTATCATCCTCCCACAACCCTCCCTTACATGGGAAGTAGCCCTGAGACACCTTGGAGCAGGACACCACACTCCCTGGGACCAGGAGGGACCCACCTCTTTTTTTCACCAGGCGGCCAGGGCACCGAGTCCCAAAGCAAGAACAAGGAGGCTTGGTTGGGATCCCTTGTCTTCCCACACTCCAGGGCAGTTCAGCCCTATATCTTCAGCTGAGTCTCAAACACCTGAAGGCAATCCTGTTTTTTTCACCAGGCCATGTAGGTCTGTATTGAAAAGCTGTCACAGTCACCCTTATGACGTCTGGTTTCTATGGCAACTGAGATGTACAGGCTTGTCCTCAACACCGGAAATGCCTCCTCCACACCGGAAATGCCTCCTACACACAGCCCTCTGTCCTATTGCCTTTCTTAGCAAAAAACCTTCACTTTTCAGACCACCACCTGAGAAAGCTTACTAATAAAAGGAACTAGACTGGGACCCAGGTAATTGGTGGAACTCTGCCCTCTTTTAATAATAGGACAAAAGTCTGTGTTGTCGGGAATTTTGTTTGCTTTAAAAGTAATCTTGAGGTAGTATCTTCACAACATAGAAACCCAGGTAGGTATCCTAAGGCTCTTGACAAGGAGCTAGCCCTGAGGGGGAGAACATGTACAACTCACACACGATGCTAGGCAGTTAGGCATCTGTGGCAGAAAACTGAGAGACTTTTTATAATCATATGACTAAACAACCTAGGAACACCAAAATATGTCTTTTAAGATATCTCTAAGTTATTTCAGGGAAGCAGGCTTGGAATAATGTAGTTATTTAGTAGGCAAAAACCTAATCAATTCAATCATACAATAGTTTGTCTTCACAAAATCCTTATCCCCCATCCCAATATTTTATTCCATGTGAATGGACATTCACAACCAAAACATTTCTAGCCTCTGTGCACACTCCTTTGGCAGGAGAAACATGCTGCTCAGCTGGAGTCCTTCCTTCAAAACTCTTGGTAGTAAGCTCCCTTTCAGAGGTACTCACTCTACTCTGCCAACAGGAGGGGAACTTACAATAGGCCCACAGATCTAGTCTTCTTTCTGTGCCTTGCTGGCTACTCAACTATTCCTATGGTTTTACTTTACAATGCTTGAATCTTTAAGGCCTCCCGCCCCAAGTAATCCACTGCTCCAAGTCTTAGCACTAAACCAACTGAGATATATAATTTTTTAAACTACAAGGGCTTTATTTCTTATAAAAGTCATATTACATAATGTGATTTAGATTTGCTGTCACATGGGCTACAAATGAGTCCCAGAATCGACAGTATCCACACAGCAGTGCTGCATTGGGACAGTCACAAATGCCAAGAATTGCAATGCATAGCAGCCTGATGTCTCCTAAAGGAGTCCTGTTTATGTGTGTTCAAGAAAACTGACTTCCTTGCCAAGGGCTATCCCTGTAGCAGGAGAAAGTATTTCAGGACACTTTCCTGAAACACTAGTGAATATAAAGAAATACTTTGTTTGGAATGATTACTCATTAAGTCAACCTCTGAGATTTTTCTTATGAAGTGGTTTATAGCAACACACTCTCAGTACTTTAATTTACGTGACTGTAGTAGAGGCTCATCTTATGGTATTAGGTTCCAATTCAAATAGTAGCGGAAAAAATATACATTGCAAAAATTTCCATTGGCAATCTCTTCAAGTAGGAATCAATGACATGTCCACAAATCTCTATCCACATATAAACTAATACTCACATTATAGTCAAAATTATAACTAAGTTCCACCAAGCCTTCAAGAATAAGAGAATCCCTTTCTTATTCAATAAAAGATCACAGAAAAAGTGAGAAAGCTCACCAAAACCCTAATGTTTTGGATATCTATTTCTCCTTAACCAATATCCCCCAAAACAGCCATTTGTTATCGCTCAGGATTCTGTGTATTGACTGGGCTGAGCTAGGTGTTTTCTGCTTCATGGGGTATCTGTCACCTGGGGCTGTGTGGTCTACACATCTGGGACATCCAAGAGGCTTACTCAAATGGATGATGACTGGTGCTGGTATCTCCTGGGAACTCAGCTAGGGTTTTGCCTGGAACATCTTAGTTGGGCACAGAGTCCTCCATAGGTAAGGTAGCCAGATAAAACAGAAGATACTCACTTATATTTTATTCCAGATAAATAATGAATAATATTTTAGTGTGTGATGGCTATATTTATATGTGAGGTTGGCTGGGCTAAAGTGAGGTTTGATGAGCTAAAGTACACAGATAGCTCATCAAACATTATTCTGGATGTTTCTTTGAGGATGTTTTTGAATGAGATTAAAATTTAAATTTCTGGACATTGTGTAAAGCAGATTATCATCTCCTGTGGATAGGCTTCATCTAATCAACTGGAAGTCTGCACAGAAAAAAAAAGACTGACCTCCCCTGAAGCAAAGGGAAGTTTGCTCGTAGATGGCCTTTGGAATTAAACTGCGACATTATTGGATATGTGACTGGGCATCTTGTGTTTTTATTTGCAAGATCTGGCAACCCTAGGGGTGTAGCCTTTGGATATGTAAGTTTTATTTACCTTCTGACATGACATTTCCAATGAGGCAAGTCTAAGGAAAATGAGCAGGTAAGACAAAAAAAGGACAAAAGCTGTTGGTGAAATAAAGGGGAAACAGACTTTCAAATACACTGTTGGCACCACATTGATGTATTCATTTTCTGAGGCCCATATTATTACAACTTAATGCCCTTTGTGCAAGAGTCCTATTTCTACCAACCAGGGTGTTTCACCTGAGGGTTTAGAAAAGGCACATCGAGGTGACTCTTATGTGCGTCCTGGTTAAGAAGCCCTGGCTGCGGAAACAGGTTAAATTAATAGATGAGTTTTCTGCCTCAGGGAGGAACGATAGCTCCTACTTATGGAGCAAAGTGTTTAGAGCGGCCCAGCTCTAGTTTCTTTATGTTAGCGTCTGGATTTGATCTCGTGACAGCCCTGCTAGTGAGGTACCAGTATCCTCTCTTCTTCATGGATGTCTGTGACTAACAAAGCACGTGCTCCTAACCACACAGCTGGATGGTAAAAAACTTGCTCAGCAAGCCCACTGCCAGAACCAGGCCTACTGCCAGAACCTGACAGCCTGGGCACCTTGAATTGCTGGTGGCAAATCTTTAGTATGAGGACATATACTGTTGAGTTTAATCTCAGTTCTCCTTGTATTTACCCTTCCTGCATTTCCAACAGAAAACCAGGCTTGGGCCCCTTTCCCCGCATCTCAGGGAAGGTTTATAGCAAGGCTGGAAGCAGATGTAGTGTTTGCTTCATCCTGTGTGGAAACTTAAACTTAAGAAAAGGATTGGACTACTTGTACCTGGCAGGAAGGGGAAGGGTTCTAAGGACACAGAGAAAAGAGGAGAGAGATTTCTCTTGGAAAGTGATGAGGTCAGAATTCTACAGGTGCCTCTGGGAGTAGGAACCTGAGCATTGCTCTATATCAATGTTTGGAGAAGCTCTGTATATGGTTCATCAAGGCTCGGCATCCAGCCATGAGACAGATTCTCCTGTTTGGTTGGAAGGATGGATAACTCAGGGTCGCGAAGTGCGGTGGGGCTGAAGGTAGCAAACCAGCTAGGGAAATGGTCAGCTCAGCCCTCAGTGGTAGGGACACATGCATGATAATGACTTGCCAGGCTGTACCTGGAAGATACATTTCCACAAATGGTTATTCTTTGTCAAAGAATAAAACAAATAGTGAGTATTTTTAATATATACTGTCTAGTTGAAAGTTAAAATCTCTTTACTAATGAATATCCCAACCAACTACAAGATGAGAGCACTTGTTTCTCTAGATTTGTGCAATAATAGGCTTCCCAATGTTAATATTTGTGGATGTAATATCCTATCACTGTAATGTTAGAATACTTTTCATTTTTCTCCATCTATTTCCATATAAATGGCATATTTCACATGTACATTTCTAAACACAAACATAACAGTCCCACTTTATGCCTCAGAATCTGTTCTTGAATAGTCCTAGAGTTTGATGAGAAAATCTGATGAGTAAGTTTGTGTTTATGCTGTGTCCTGTTTAAACTGAAATTGTGGAGTCATAAGAATGACATGTTGCTGCAGGAGAACAAAATGGTAGACTGTCTTTGCACAGACACTGGAGAACGTGTATGAGAGAAGCAAACACGGCTCCATCAACTGCTGCTCTCTCAAATCTGCACTGCAGAGAGTCCCTGGCATGTGTGTAAGAATGGTCATGGCAGCGTGGCCAAAATATCAAAATAGCCCCAAAGTTACCTTATTAGAGACATCTCAGAAACATTTTCAGAAGAAATAAATTCAATAAGTGTTTGCTACGATTTGGAAGTTTGACTCCTCCAAACCTCATGTTGAAATCTAATCCCTAATGTTGGAGGTGGGACTTAACAGGAGGCGTTTGGGTCATGGGGGTGGATCCTTCATGAAAATCTTGGTGCCATCCTTGCTGTGATGAGTGAGTCCTTTCTCTATTAGTTCCCACAAGAGCTTGTTGTTGAAAAGAGCCTAGTACCTCTCATCTCTCTTTCCCATCTTTTGCTATGTGGTCTCCGCACAAGCCAGCTCCCCCTGGCCTTCATCATGAGTGGAAGCTTCCTGAGGCCCTCATCATAAGTAGATGCCCAATCTTGAACTTTCCAACCATCAGAGTTGTTAGCCACATAAAGTTTTTCTCTTTATAAGTTGTGCAGCCTCAGATATTCCTTTATAGCAACACTAAATGGACTAAGAAAGTGGTATAAAAATATATGGTTTATTCCATTTACCTATCAGGACAGCAGTGTGAAGGAAGTATGGTGAGTCCCACCTTGCAGACGATCAAGCTCTGGCTCACAGAGACTAAGACCCTCTCCAGATAAGTGGCAGAATGCCAATGGGATTCCATCTCTTACCCTTCCCCGCAATGGAAGCAGCAGCTTCCCGTTTGGAAGACGACAATTTTATACTTCCTCAGTATTGTGCCCTAAGGGCACTCACTGAACAGCCCTTCACATTGAGGAAAAGGACGGTGGAAATGAAATCTTGACCTTTGGGTCATGAGGCATAGCTGTGGGGTCATATGGATTACCAGGTCTCTGAAGTTAACTGTAGGGTGAAATAAAGAAACATAACCTCACGTGGAACAAGAAAGAACAGGGAAGACAACAGAAAACAGCAGGCCCTCCGGGGATCACCTCTACTTTTCTCTGTCTTTGCTCCCTTCCCCACCTCATTTGCCCCCTGCTCTTTGTGACAGTATGGGATGTACACAGGTATCTGAAGTGCCCTGAGAAAGGATAGAAAGATGGGAAGATCCAGATGATGAGACGGCTGGATCAGGCAACACAAGTCCTGGAGCCCGTGCCCTGGGTGTTGGCTCACCCACCAGGCACTCCATCTCTACCTGCTTCTATGTGCCTCACCATCACTACCACATAGCAATGAAGCCCTCACATAACAAAAACATCCACTCTTCAAGGTAGGTTAGCAGGAGAAGTGATTTACCCCTGAGACAAGAACATCTCACAGTCACTGGTTGGGTCTGGCACCAAGATGCAGAGAAATCTCTGGTCTCTCTTGCTCCAGTGTCCTGAACAGCAGATTGTATAAGGTTTTCATCAAGCCCCTTGGGAGTGTAAAGGAAACACGCTTCTCTCATGCAGACAAGGGGACAAGAAACATATGGGGACAGGAAAACCTGGGAAACAGGAAGAAATGGGGTGTGTGGTGACTTCTTTCCTTACCCCGAACTGCATTTATGGGGTCCATTACTCGGTTGAATAGAAATGGTGGAATCACCTTCTTCCCTTTCCCAGCACCATCAGGGCGCTTATTCCACCACAGAGAAATGACACTGACTCACCATAAAATTGGAAACACGGGAGTGTTTTCCTTCTCTCCACATGCTCTCTAGTCACGTGGAAAATAGTTACTATACACTACAGAAACTTGGCAAATGTCACCTTAATTAAATGATGAAGTCCAACATCACCAGTGACATTAAGTAGTCATCCTAACTACCAGATATAATGTGACCAGAACGGCACTTCAACTCAATGATATTCTTTCTCAAAACACATAACCCTTGTCTAATCACAATAAGAACAACTGGCTAAGCCTACACTCCTCATTACTGTCAGGGTCATGAAAGTCATCTGGCAGTTCCTCAAATGGATAAGCAGGGAGTTACCAGCAATTCCATTCTTAGGTACATACTCAAGAGAAATGAAAACATAAGTCTACCTGAAAACTTAAACACAAATGTGTGTTGAATTGCCATTCATATTAGCCAATAACTAGAAATAATCCAAATGACTATTAACAGATAAATAGGTAAAAAATATAGTCTATTCATACAAGATTTTTCAGCTATTAGAAAGAATGACATTATGACACATGCTACACTATGGATGAACCTTGAGTATATATCATAACAAGGTGAGGGAAGTCAAACGATAAAGACCAAATATTGTATGATTCCATTTATGTAAAGTATCTAAATAAGCAAATTCATAGACACAGAAAACATTTGTGATTGCCGAGGCTGAAGAAGGAATTAACTGTATTCAAGCACGACAAGATTTTTGGAGATAATGGAAATGTTTAAAGCTTGATTCTGGTGATGGTAGCACAACTCTACACATTTACTAAATTCATCAAATTTACCCTTAAAATGGGTAAATTTCATTATCTCTATGGCATATTGGAAGAAAGCTGTTTAAAAATATGGTCTTCCGGTCTTCTGTTGTACCACAGTAATGACCAAACACTTTCATACAAAAGAATTGGCACATGTTTTATATAAAAATGAATGCATATAAAAGAGTGTCTGTGTCCTAGCCCTGCTGCCTCTGTCCTGTGTAACTCCAAGCAATAATCGTTCGTCTTCCCCCTTCCCCTCATGCTGCATAAGGTTGTGCTTGTGTGCAAAATTTGATGTCATCTCATCACTTCCACATCTTTCAAGTATGACAATGACTTAAGAGTGGGTCCTGAACTCTGCCATCCCATGTGATAGGATGTCAGCATAACTAATTTCTTCACTCCTCTGTGGCTGTTCTCACGTGCCTCCCTTGGGGAATCTAAACGGCACCAACTCTATGTGTGCCACTATGTCAACACATATCAAAGAGTGAACACCACTTACATCAACAATTTCCCGTGTAGAAATTCATCTTCAGAATGCAGTGAAGAATGTTGATAAGCATCTGGTTATAAGGACTGCCATCCTGATAATTAGCTTTTGTCACTTCTGGACCTGAATTTAGGAAGAGAGACCAAATGAGACACAAATCCATGAAGGGGCAGAGGGAAATGTGGTTGTTAGTGCATGCGCGATGCACGCACACACACTCACACAAACTGAGACATTTATCATGTTGTGTTATAATTCTCCTGAGACAACTTGCTGGACGCAAGGAAGACACATTTAACTCACTGCTGCAAACAGCCACAGGAACTGTGCCTGAAACTGTACACTTTAGCAGTGCACAGACTCTGAAAATATGCCATCCACACAGTGTAAATAATAGGAAATATCAGAACAGTCTGAATAATATAGGGTTGTGAAAATTGATTAGGTCACATCCATAGGATAGAATTCTAGAAGCAGCAAAACGAGTTATAATGAAAGCAATGATGAGAGATGACTTCTTGCATACCAGATTAATGATTCACATTATTTCTAATGTGTGGAGAAACAGGTATTTTTATAATGTATATAGGTAATATAAATTAGTAATAGTATTTTAAAGTCATTATTAACATAAAATTTTATAGTTCAAAGGGTTTTAAAATGACACTTTCAGGAACTTAATAAATGCTTACAAAAATATTTGTATATACATAAGCATGGTGTTAAGTATACTATTTTTGGTCATAGAAATAATGGTAAGGAAACTAAATTTTTATTGCTAGGAAACTAGTGAAGTAAATTTGAGGGCATCCACACAAAGAAATACGCAGTCCAAAAAAAAAAAAAAAAGTGAGTTTTTTTGTGTGTGTTTTAGTATTTTAAGATGTTATCATATATTTCCATGACAAGATGGTTATAGTAAGAGCAAACTTAGGTTACAAAGATGATCAAAGATCTGCATCCATTTTAGCTTACCCAGGTCTCCAGCTATTTATCCATTTGTCCCAAAGCATTTAAAAAATATATTTATTCCTCTGACACAGTTTTTTCTTCCACATAGTAAGAGGCTCCACTTTTTAAATGGAGGCTGACGGTATTCCTACACATTGGGAATGCCCAATTTTCACTCAGACTTCTAGAAAACTCAGCAGGGTGGGCTTGGGCCACAACCCCTCCCTCCCACTTTCCTGCTGTGATATTCAAGCTGCAGTTCGGGCTTCAGTCACGAGGGGGCACCACCATACCATCATTGTCAAATATTTCCACAGATGTGTTTGCAAGGAACAAAAAAATATTCCTCACTTAAAACCTAGCATATGAATTTACATATAGAATAACTCTAATTCTGTCAGAATAGAATTGATAAGTGTAAAATAAGACAGTAAAATCCTCTACTCTGGGGTATCCATAAGATGAAACATGAGATACCTCTAGCGCACACTGGCAGCCCTTGGTAGGCAGAACTTTTTTACCTACAGCCATCCCTCTGTATCCATCATTTTTATGAATTCTAAAATAAGCATATTTAAGGGATATCTAAATCTGAGATTAGAAACCAGGCCTGGTCTGAACTGAAGATAAGCCTGCACTTGTGAGCTATATTTGGGTGATGGAGCTAGAGGAGCTAGAAACAGATGCACACACACACACACACACACACACACACGCGCGCGCATGCACACACACACACACACACACACACACACACACAGAGTCAATTTACTGTTTTAAATCTACTTTGTTTTCCCAAGAAACTGAATACAATGAATCCTTTTCCAAATTACTGAATTCAGTTACACATTACTGTTGTCAATCTATTAACAAGTATTTTCTTTATCAAAATTTTCATCAATATACATTTTCCTGAAACAAACTTTCAAACAATATACAGAAGCATATTCATAAATTGGAATAAACCTTTATCACTCACTGGTCCAGCTTCTATGCTGTGACCCAAGAGTGTCTGTTGTCCCTGGTATGGTGCATACTCTTCGGATACGTCCCTGTAGGTGAGGTGCACACAATCCCGTTCACCACCCCCCCACACACACAGAGTCTTCTCCAAAAGTGTAATCACAGTCCTCATCTTCTTTTGCAACTTACCTTTTCCACTTTATATTATATTTAGGGCTGATATTTGTATCTTATTAGTTCTTGTGGTTTTGTCATAGTTAACATGTTCATTGTTCATGTATGTATGTGAATTATCTGTTGAAATAGTTGCTAATCTTTTTGTTACAGAGTGTGCTTCGTAAATCATGGATACTATCCTAATATCCGAAGTGTGGTTTGCAGATGTTTTCTCCTTTGTTTTAATACGATTCTGAGTGGCTTTTTATTTATTTAGAAAGTGTATTAAATTTCAATAATTTGAGTTAAAAGCTATACAGCTCATAATTTAAAAGAAGAAAACATTGAACACCACCACAGGGAGTGGGTACAGTCAGCCTGGAGGAAGATTATTGCATTCAGAGCCCTGCAGGCATTAAGGAAAAATGGAAAAAATCTAGAGTATTCCAGAGTAAGCTGCTGATCAGAAGATACCAAAGTTTTCTCTTTGATTTACATAACTCCCCTAAAGGCGGTACCCTCATCTGAATAGTGGTCAGAATGATGGGTATCTTAAATAGCTGTTAGGATTAAAGAAGAAGATAGTGACATAGAAGGATTCAGGGTAAAAGTTCAGTCACAGTCAGCCAGCCCAGGGCCCAAGGAGCAATCAGCACATGTGAATTGAAACACCTGTGAAGTGCCTTCCTTGTGCAACTAAAAACAACAAAAAGAAAGGAAAATATACACATGGCCAGCACTTGTAATACAAAATAAGTCCAAGTTCTAAATGCAATGCAGCCCTAAAGCAACCAAGGAATTTGGGTCTGGACACATGAAAACTAACTCCCCCAAAATACTGTCTTCTTTTACCAGCATGGCCCAGATGAGGTTCTAGATGTAGAGAACAGGCCTAGAAAAGAAACAGTGAGAACGAAGACAAAAAATTCAGCCTAGACAAATGGGAAAATGTTTCATTTTCAGATACACTGAGACATTGTATTGGGATAGCAAACAATTGGAAAACGAAGACTCTGAACATATTAGAGTTTTAAAATGAAAATAATATCTGCAGAATGCATTTCTGCTTCCTACAGCATATAAACTGAGAAAATAAGTGTTTCCATTTTAGTAGCTCTGAAAGAAAATACACATGGCAAGTAGGCATATATACTTGTCACACTGTTGAGATGTGGATGTGCATTTGTTCTTCTTGTGTTTCTTCCTTTCTCTTTTCCATTACATGTCCCACTAACTACAGATGAAACATCCAACAAAATAAGATCACATTTCATGTAGTGATATATACATGTTAAAAATTGCAATGAGATGTATTAAGAATGAAATATCCAAATTCTTGTTAGTGACTACTCCAAGTAAAACAGCAGCTAATGCAATCAGAAAAGACTTAAGTTTCTACTGTATATGTAATGTTTTATTTCTTAATATGAATACACAGAAGTATCTTACACTATTTTTGAATTTTTATGTCTGAAATATTTAACATGCAATGTTTATATGAGTTTTAATTCTGACTTAAAACATGATTCATATTAATTTAGGAATTGTAGAACATACAGTTAATTCCAGAGATAAACATATACTAGGCAATCTTACCACTCTTTAACTTTAAAAAGTACGTATTTGCGCATTCCTCCCATTATATTCTCTCTATATAAATGTGAGGTTTTTTTTTAAATGGTTTAACAAAATTTTTAAATACAATTTGTAAAAATGCATCTTTGAGAATAATTTTCTCAGCTTGAATTGTTTTCCACACCCAAAGAAAATACACAAGTATCAGCGCTCACACATATATACACTCAAGACTACAATGACATTCTCTACATGTAACTATATTCGATATAGCTTGAACTGCAGAAAAATCAAGACAATTCCAAAAAGTGATTGCAGGGTCATTTTTTTTTTTTTTCTCCAGAACACTTGAGAAACAGTAAAGCTATTTCAACAAAAGTCCTTCTTTGATTGACAAAAGTTGAAACTCACACTTAAATAAAAAAAGATCCAAACCAAGATCCTCTTCAGCCCCACCTCTCATCTCTCGATTTAGGGCCATATTTTCTTCTTGCTCCTAAGCAAAAAATCTGGAATTTTGAATATTCCCAGTTTTCTATGCACACTTGGAATTGGGCAAATGTGTTCAGATCAGCCAGCATTTCTGTACACACATATGGAAAATACATGAATATATGTATATACATCCATATACATACATGCTGTGTATTTATTGCATGTGGTCTCACATATCTAGACAGTAGACAGTGCTAGATATCCTAAAGCCAGAGGAAATGATCTCAAGTATACACTGAATTCTATGACTCCCAAGTCCCCATCCCTAACCATTTGGATACCATCATTTTCTGTGTAAGGGCTGAGACCAGCACAGGGGAAGTCACTTCCCATGGTCCCGCAGGCAAGGACAGATCTGGTTTCTGGGACCCAGAACTCTTGATTTCAGTCTGTTGTACAGCAGACTCATCTTCATCCTCTGTTATTCTGTAATATCTTTCTTCTGGGGTTCAAAGAAAGGTTCCCATTCGGGTGTCAAAGAGGAAAGTAAACCAACCTATCTCCATCCTTCCCTGCCTCCTACTCTTCCCAGTCTCTAATACTCACAATTCTACTCTATTTCCAGGAGCTCATTAAAAATTTTTTTTTAGTAGTAGCTGGTTAACTGTCACACAATTATAGCTAACAAGAAGAATGAGTTTTGGTGTTCTGCTATAATTTATTGTATATTCTCAAAAGGCTGGAAGAGAAGATTTTGAATATTTACAACACAAAGAAATGGCAAAGTTTGAGGGGATGGACATGCTAATTACCCTGATTTGCTCCTTAGACATTGCATACACATATGGGAATATCACTTGGTATCCCATAAATATGTACATTACATGTCGAATAAAAATTAAAGGAAAAGGGGAAGGTAAAAAGAAGAGCATATCAATTAAAAGTTAACAAAACCATGATTTTCTTACTAATTTCTGCCATTCTCAGTATCTCATCCTAAAGAGAAACGGTACCAAAGCTTATTCATCATATAAATATAAATA